ATGGTATCGGGAAGATCTCTGAGAGACTTGCTAAAGAAATGGCTTGCCGAATTGGATTAGACTACACTAACCCTCCTTCAGCTTTTCAAATAAGGTATGGTGGCTACAAAGGAGTTGTTGCTGTGGACCCTGATTCCTTTCGTAATCTTTCTCTGCGACCTAGTATGAAGAAATTCGAATCAAAGAGCAGAATGTTTAACATTACAAGTACCAGCAAATCCCAACCATGCTATATGAATCGTGAAGTTATCTCTCTCCTTTCAACTTTGGGGATAAGAGATGAGATATTTGAGTCGATGCAACAGAATGATATGCGTGAATTAGATGAAATGCTGACCAACAGAGAAGCTGCTCTCTCTGTTCTGGGGAAAATTGGTAGTGCAGAAACAAAGACAGCATCGAAAATTTTACTGCAAGGCTATGAACCAAGTTTAGAGCCTTACCTGTTGATGATTCTTAAGGCCCATCAGGATAATAGGCTGACTGACATAAGAACTAGATGTAAGATTCATGCTCCGAAAGGCCGTGTTCTTATTGGTTGTTTGGATGAAACAGGTGAATTAGAATACGGTCAAGTGTACATCAGAATTACAAAGAACAGCAAAGAGCAGAAGGATAATTGTCTGCCATATTTTGCTGAAGATAATGGAAAAGAGAAAACAGCAGTCGTTGTTGGAAAAGTTGCAGTATCAAAAAATCCTTGTCTCCATCCTGGTGACATCAGAGTACTTGAAGCTGTCTATGACCATGGTTTGTACGCTAAGAACCTGGTTGATTGTGTTGTCTTCCCCCAAAGAGGAGAAAGGTAATGTCGTATGTTATACTGAAACTGAAAGACGATCATCTAGAGTTTATATTGCTCTGGCAATGCCTTCAGAGGAGCTCAAATCTCTATTGAAGTGTTTGTCAGCGTGTTCGTTTCCATGTTAGATTGATATCCCCTCATGTTACGTACTTACATCTCTACCTATTGATGGACGTTGCCAATGCTTGCTTTCTCCTTCAATTAATCTTTGATGTTTAATAGGCCTCGTTTATGTAGAATTTAATCTTTGATGTTAATCAGGCCTCATCCAAATGAATGCTCCGGGGGCGATTTGGACGGTGACCTCTATTTTATCACTTGGGATGAGAAACTGATTCCAGAGAAGGTTGATTCACCTATGGACTACACTGCAGCAAGGCCACGCATAATGGATCATGTTGTTACACTTGAGGTATATTCCTCGCTGTTTATTCATTTTAATTTCTCTTACTAGGTTGTTGCTGCTAATTTACCGAAGATTGTTTTATTTGACTAATATCAATTTTTATACTTGCAATTGCAAATATAATGAAAATCTCAGTTTTTTACAATCTGTAGCATTTCGATAATACTAGAAGAAAATGTGCACTTCGCCGCACCGTTTTCCATTGTTATAAATCATCAAAGAAGGAATTCTTTAAACAAAACTTCTGATGCAAACAAATCACAGGCTAAAATCATTCATTTTGAACAACTTTTTATTGATTGCCTATGGGTTCATGGGTTCCCAGAGAACCTGGCAAGATATATTAGCTAGGTTTTGAAGTTGACAAAACGGGAAGGAAAAACTGCAGTGTAGGATCTACTCTCTCTGTAAAGAAATATAAGAGCGTTTAGATCACTAAAGTAGTGATCTAAACACTCTTATATTTCTTCACATCTTTTATTTTCTCTCTTTCTTTCCATGTTTGTCTCTTTCTTGTCCCTGTGGTCTAGTTTTTTGACTGCTCTATAACTCTTTTAGGTCCGACGAAAAGTTATTTTCTTAAACCACAACATGACCACATGACAAATCCAGGATGTTATCAATAAGCAATAATGCCAGACTGAGCTGTGCACTTTCCAAATTTGGTGAAAAGTGCATTCTATCTTCCAATTCTTTGTAGCCTGACAAACATTCTAAGTGGTCACTGCTGAAAATTTTGTGATAATATTAGCCTATTTTGAGCTTGCGTAACTGAACACATCAAGAACCTGACGGCGTGATTGTACACAAAATGGCACACAAGCATTCTATACTGCACCCATGTCAGGTTTAATTAAGTTTACAGCTCGTTTACTAATTTAATTAGAGTGGACAAATAAGGCAAGTAACCTGAAAATTCCAACACTAAGTCTGTCCGACCACTCCTTTCCTGCCTTTCTGTTTTCTCTATCCCTGTGTGCTAAGTGCCTCAGGCCGATTTCGCCGCACCATGTGAGCCCGAGCTAGAGTCCATCTTCCACTGATTACCCCCAATAAATCGAACGACCAAAGGCCCATCGGCCGCTACATGAAGACGTGCCAACAACCCTTGATGGATTGAATGGAACTATATGTAACTCCATTAAGAGCTATAGCAAACCATCAGATTAAGGATGGGAACTTTACCTTCAGGGATGAACACCTGATGTCGATGCGAATGAGGTAACCACAGTACTAAGTGGTTCCTTTGGTTGTCGATGTGGTGGCTGGTTGGAGCAGCACCTCCCCTCAAAGCCCCCGCCCCCCTCCAAAGCAGCGATCCAGGGCACCTTAGTCGAAGGCAGTTTAGATTGTGTCAACGCCAGCTGACCAGTGGGACCAAAATGATAAAAAGCCAGATCGCTGAGGGCGGTATATTTCGGGGGAGCTTAGTAACTTTAGAGATTTATTATCTTGAGGCACCTTACATCTTTCTAAAACATTTCTTTCGCAAAAACTGGGTGCATGCCTACAGCCAGAGCGAACTGGCTACGAGCGTCGAACTCAGCCAGGATGGAATAACAGCACAAAATTTTGAATGCTTTGGACCAAATATATGCTCGCCATGCACAGTTTTTTCTTTTTTGATTTTTTCGCCATGCACAGTTAATAACGTTCTTTAGAAATGTGGGTACTTATTTCGGAAAGAAAGACATTTTTGCCATCCTCTAATGAAAACAGTTGTGCATGATTGAGTTTTAAAGTGGTGTTGGCTTTAAAATGCTCTTCAATGTATATATCTAACCTTGATAGCTTCACAACTACTCCCTCTGTTCCTAAATACATGACGTTTTGGCCATTCAAATGAACTGCCAAAACGTCATATATTTAGGAACAGAGGGAGTATTTACCAGTTAGCTCCAATAAGCAGTTCAAAGTTGTCTTTTCAACAAGCACATGTATTTTCCTTGCCTGACATGTTTATACCTGTAATCTTATAAGAACACCTGATGAACTGCAGGAAATTCAGAAGTACTTTGTGGATTACATGATAAATGACTCGCTCGGTGCAATCTCAACTGCTCACTTGGTCCACGCGGATCGTCATCCAATGAAAGCCCGGAGCCCTGAGTGCCTCCAGCTAGCTGCTTTGCATTCGATGGCGGTCGACTTTGCCAAGACAGGAGCTCCAGCTGAAATGCCCCGGTCACTGAGACCAAAGGAGTACCCCGACTTCATGGAACGGTGGGACAAACCAACGTACATCTCCAACGGAGCTCTCGGCAAGCTCTACCGAGCGGCTGCGAGCCGTATGCAGAGCGCTCCTGCCCCCTCGTCCTCGGCTCAATCTAGCCCCGCGTTCGATCCTGACCTAGAGGTCCCTGGCTTCGAGGAATTCCTGGCATCCGCGGAGGAGTTCTACGACCTGTACGCGGAGAAGCTGAGCACCCTGATGAGCTACTATGGTGCGGAGCATGAGGACGAGATCCTGACGGGCAACATCCGGAATAGGCTCCTGTACCTGAAGAAGGACAACAAGAGGTACTTCGAGATGAAGGACCGCATATCGACTCGGTGGAGGGCCTGCACAAGGAGGTGCAGGGTTGGTTCAGGAGCCGCCCAAAGGCAGAGGCGTCAAGGTGGGCGTCGGCGTGGTACCGCGTGACTTATCACCCGGAACACCGACGGCCGGGAAAGAAGCAGTTCTGGAGCTTCCCGTGGATTGTCTGCGACGAGCTGCTGAAGATCAAGGAGTCCAGTATGCGGCGCAGGCAGCAGGTGGACGACGCGGCGGCCTGAGTCGTCCGGCCAAGTAATTATGTGCGGCTGCTATGAGTTTGTATGTATGTAGTGTAAAACTCTGGGGCATGACTGCAGTGCAGACCTTTGGGCTGGCGGGTGTATTTTCTCAGGGTGAAACCCATGATCCAACTTTCCGGCTTAATCAGGGGCGTCGTCGCCTCCGCGTCGTTACTTATTGAAGATGTTGGTTCAAAGATCTGTTAAAGTGTGATACCTTTGGTCTGACATCAGTGTTGTACCCTTTATCTGCTTGGGGATGATGTGGTGAACTGGTGATGCATCCCAGGTGGTGGATGGCCTCGAGTTTTTTTCTCTCTTTGCAAGCTGATTTGTTCAGTATTATCAACAATTGATAATATATGGTTGTGGTGTATAAAATACTATGGCCGTGGGCATCACTTGATAGAGGCTGAGGTGCTCCCTTTTTCGGAAAAAAATATATAAATAATCGACTCCTGTTGTTTCTACAAATTTTAGTGTTACTCTATAACCTGTTCAGGGGCTAACTAATCACCTACTCTCGCCGCTGCTTCTATCACCTTGATTTGATTTGTGGGAAGATCACTGACATATTGATCAGTCCATCAAACATTTCAGACTTTATATTTATGGGGGCCCTGGTTCCAACCGCAAACCAGACCAGTGTTATTGCCCACTTTTTCAGATCAAGAATTCCACCCCTGTACAGCCAGTCTCACATGCAGACGGTTGTGCGTTTGCTCTGAATTATCACCACCATGAATATACATTGATCCTTGGCACCGACGCCATAAATTGGAGCCTGACAAGGGTAGATGGATCTTGCCGGAAAATCTTCAATGGGCAGCGCAAGTAGCACCCACAGGTACTACCCCCTCCCCCTCTGGAGAACACTACTAGCTCGATCATCTATATAAGGTCACAAGCTCTCGCCATGGACAAACCACAAGCACCACAGTCACTTCACTGCTCAAGTAGCTGGCAAGAGCTTTGAACGCGTTGCAACCTTGCATCCCGGTCGATCGATCGATGGCGTCCAAGGTCGAGCTGGTGGTGGAGGTGAAGTCGCCGGCGGAGAAGCTGTGGACGGCGATGCGCGAGTCGACGGAGCTGTTCCCCAAGATCTTCCCCGAGCAGTACAAGAGCATCGAGACCGTGGAGGGCGACGGCAAGTCCGCCGGCACCGTCCGCCTCATCAAGTACACCGAGGGTACGTGCGCCGTGAAACGATCCACATATCCGGAGCTTGTATCAGTATATATATGTAACGTGAGCATTGGGTGCGTGCCTTCAGGGGTTCCGATGGTGACGTTCGCCAAGGAGAAGGTGGAGGTGGCGGACGACGAGAAGAAGGTGGTGTCGTACAGCGTGGTGGACGGCGAGCTGGTGAGCTTCTACAAGAACTTCAGGGTGACGGTGCAGGTGACCGACAAGGGCGCCGACGGCGCCGGCGCGGTGGTGAACTGGACCATGGACTTCGACAAGGCCAGCGACGAGGTGCCCGAGCCGGACGTCATCAAGGAGACCGCCGCCAAGACCTTCCACGACCTCGACGACTACCTCCTCAAGAACTAGCAGCTCTTAGCTGCCTCGTCGCTGGCCGCTGCGGACGATCCTCCATCCGTCCGTCCGTCCATCCATCCATCCATGAATACTGTCGTTGTTGCCTGTTGTCTGCGGTGTCCCCGCACCAAGCTTACTCTCACGTAAACGACCGTGTGTACGGCCGTGTACGTGTGCATCTGCCTGCGATGGGACGGCCGCGTGAGTAGTGGAATAATAAATATAACAATAATAAAGTCGCAGCTTTATGATCACGTATACATACGAATGGTGCTAGATTTGTGCGATTTGGTTTGATTCGATCTGCAGAAAAAATTCAGTATGTTGTGGTGGAATGTTTTCCTCCCTTCAAACCGGGCTACTCAAGAGAGAGATAACATGGGCAGGGCCGCGGGGAAGAGAAAACAATGAGTTCGGGCGCTATGAGAAAACCCACCGCATGGAAAAAACTAGACGTCATCAAGAAAAACTAGACCTATTAAGCAGTACCAACCACATAAAAATATTACGGACAAAAATGATTTCCCATCCAAACCAAGACGCGACAACTACCCAAAAGCACAACGAAAATACTAATTGGTGAACGTTCCCCCGGAGGGGATGACAAACAAACGCCTTTTGATGGCATTTTTAGGTGGCAGGAGATGGCAAATTCTGCATGTTTTTGTCGCAAAATTTTCTTGCTTCCAGAAAATGCCATGCGCCTCTGAAAAATTACCATGCGTCTCTGAAGAAACTGCCAGAAAAGACGTTCGTAAATGCCACCCCTCCCGACAAACGTTCGCCGACTATTGGGTCCAAACACAAATGTCTATAGCAGACCAACAACACGACATCCACACCATTAGCATCATCTATGTAGCAATCTCTTTTAGCACCTTACCAACATGCTTCACAACATCAACCAACTTTGGCTTCGAAATACCTGTTCAATACAACATGAAAGAACAAGGTGTAAACACTATCTCGAAAGGAATTCTGGTCCAGTTGTACTCAAAAGTGGCACGATTGTTTTTCACCTCCAGAAAGGAAAGGAAAAATCCACACATAACAATGCCACAACGAGTTAGGACACAGATCAGTCCCCAACACCACACCCGCGGTTTTTCAGACCACTCTAGCGATCGGACACAAGAAGAACATGTGTTGGGAAGTCTAGTATGAGTTTATAAAGAGCAAGTAGGGTTTCGAGGCCAATGCCTTTTTCTTATAACTTTCATGGTAAGGACAACATTTTGAAACAATTGACATAGGAATATGAATTTTGAGAGGGATTTTAGTGCTCTAGATCCATTTGAAATTAGCCCCAGCAAGATGTTTTTCGAGCCAGCAATGCATAGATATAGTAGTGTAGATATGATTTATGTTAAGTTTCCATATGATATCATCAGATAAATCACATATAGGAATAGTACGTCATCACATATTTTCCATTCTCTCCCATTGTTCAGCCATAATGGGGGATTCTTCTAAAGGATGTTACAGGATTAAGCGACTCAAGTTTTTCCATAGTGCAATTTTGTTCTGAACAAACACCACAAAGCAAAGGGAATTTCTCACAAAAGGGTCTACTTTAAAAAATGATACATTTCTATGGTCTAGCAGTATTACCCTTAATTAGCACAACCCCCTCTACCCACCATATATAAATCTTTCACTCTCATTATCGCCTTCCAACAAGGAGAATCATACATTTGACTAATAGACATATATTTTGTTTTCTAATATTTAGCTTTAACCGAGGAAACAATAGAGTTCTTCAAATATTTAGCTTTAACAACTTCTTGCCATAGTCTGCTACCCTTTATCTAATTTCCACCAACATTTGACTAATAGATATATAGTTTGTTTTCAAATTTCCACCACCATTTGACTCATAGACTTATATTTTGTTTCCTGAGATCTTTGACACCCAGGCCCCCTTTGCTTTTTTTTATCTACAAACAATGCCCCATTTCACCAAATGACATCTCTTTTTTCCACAACGTTCCCAAAGGAATTTTCTTCTAGGTTTATCCCATTTCTTAATCATAGTTCCATTCATGAAAAACACTGACATATATAAGATGGATGTGGGATAGGACACAATTAAGCTATATAGTACGACCTTCCATAGACATGCCATACCCAACCCAAGAATCGATTTCTGAAGTAACTGAATATCAACAAAGCTCCAGTCATACACTTTTAGGCCAACATAACTTACATGCATGCCTAGATATTTAAAAGGAAAGGAGTTGATATACAAATTGATCCCAACATAAGTTTCCATAGTAGGTTCATCACCCCCAATAACACACACACCTCACCTTTTACAATTACTTTTTAAACCTGACATGATTTCATTCTGGATAGTCCTCAGTATTGTGGTGTATTGTAAAATATAAATGCCATTAGGAACAAGATCAATTTCCAGCCCAGTCAAAAGCCCATTAAAGTGTGCTTGTGTAACAATTTTAGCGAGGCTCACAGTTGCCAGGTTAAAAAAAGGAGATAAGCGGTCCCCTTCGTGCACCCCCTTGGATCTCTGGAAGTAGGGCCCAGTTACAACGTTCAGTTTAACACATACATCACCGTCGATCATAATATGTCTATTCCAACAAATCCACTTAGTGCCAAACCCACGTACATAATGACAATCAAGTAGGAATTCCCAGTTGACCTCGCCATAGGCCTTACCAAAATATAGCTTAAGAACAATAATGGTTCTTATTTTGTTCACATAAGTATGGTGCAAGATTTCATGCAATGTCATGATGCCATCCATAATGGCACAACTTTTATTAAAGCATTTTGGTGTCTTCTAAACAAAATATCAACAAAATGCTCAAGGCGAACAATCAAAACTTTTGTGATAAGCTTGTAAAAACATCTCAATCAACGAATGGGCCTAAAATTGTTGTATCTTGTTTGCATCAAAAAGTTTGGGTTATAGTGCAATAATACCATAGTTTAATTGTTGAACTTCTAGAGAAACAACATGAATACATTCAAATAAACGCACGACATCTTCACTGACCAAATCCCAATAGTTTTGAAAAAACTCTATGGGTATATTATCAGGGACAGGGTATGACTAGATTTCATTAAAAATAGAACATGTTTTACTTCCACCTTGCCGAAGCGTCTGCTAGTAGAAAGGTATCTAGATTACAATATTTTTCATTAGGAGCCCACAACCCATCAGATAAATGTACATGTTACTAGGTGCAGGTCCAAACAACTCTTTATGATAGCAAGTAGCATGCTTAAGCAACTCATCAATGCACTCAATAGTAACATCACAATCACTCAAGGGAGAAATTGTGTTTGTTTGTTCCTACCATTATCAATAACACGAAACTGAGTAGTATCCTAACCCCCCTTAAGGAGCCACATTTCAAAAGATCTTTGCAACTAGGCAATTTCCTCTTTAGCTAGAAAATTGTGAAGGTCAACATTGATATCTCTCAAACGTATCTATATTTTTATATTGTTCCATGCTATGATAGTATCAATTTGGATGTTTTATATGCAATTATATATCATTTCTTGGGACTAACCTATTAACCTAGTGCCTAGTGCCAGTTGTTGTTTTTTGCTTGTTTTGGGCTTTTCAGGAAATCAATATCAAATAGAGTCCAAAGGGAGAAAAAACTTTGCATTGATTTTTTCAGGACCAGAAGAGACCCTAGAAGGTTCGGGAGAAGACCTGAAGAGTCACGAGGGAGCGACAAGCTCGGGAGATGCGCCCCGAGGCGTGCCCTCTAGGCCTGTGGGCCCCTCATGGCATGTCTGGACCTAATTGCGCCCCTATAAATTCTCAAATATTCCCCTGACATCAGAGAGCCACCCAAAATACTTTTTTGCCGCCGCAAGTTTCTGTTCTCGTGAGATCCCATCTGGAGGCCTTCTCCGATACTCTGTCAGAGGGGGAATTGATCACGGAGGGGCTCTACCTCAACCTTGCTGCCCTTTTGATGATGCATGAGTAGTTTGCCTCAAACCTATGGGTCCATAGCTACTAGCTAGATGGCTTCTTCTCTCTCTTTGATCTTCAATACAATGTTCTCCTTGATGTTCTTGGAGATCTATTCAATGTAATGACTTTTTGTGGTGTGTTTATTGGGATCCGATGAATTGTGAATTTATGATTAGATTTATCCATGAATATTATTTGAGTTTTCTCCGAACTCTTGTATGCATGATTATTATAGCTTCCTATTTCTCTCCAATCTATTGATTTGGTTTGGCCAACTAGATTGATTTTTCTTGCAATGGGAGAGGTGCTTTGTAATGGGTTCGATCCCAATGATAGAAGGGCACATGACACGTTCTTTATGAACTTAATACTCTAGATGCATGCTAGTTAGCGGTCGATGTGTGGAGTAATAGTAGTAGATGCAGAATCGTTTCGGCCTACTTGTCTCGGACATGATGCCTATATACATGATCATTGCCTTAGATATCGTCATGATTATTCACTTTTCTATCAATTGCCCAACAATAATTTGTTTACCCATCGTATGCTATTTTCAAGGGAGAAGCTTCTAGTGAAAACTATGGCCCCCGGATCTATTTTCCATCATATTTAAACCAAAAATACTTTGCTACCATTTTTCTTTCTTTATTTTATTTTGATTTTTGTGCGATCTATCTATCTATCTATCTATCTATCCATCACCATACAATTTAATCTTGCAAATAACCGCCAAGGGATTGACAACCCCTTGCTCACGTTGGGTGCAAGGATTTGTTATCTTGTGTGCATGTATTGTTAATGAGGTGTTGTGTGGTTCTCCTGCTGGATTGATAACATTAGTTCTTAACTAAGGGAAAACTTGTCTCTACTATACTGCTTCATCCTCTCCTCTTTGAGGAAATCTCAACGCAGCTTACAAGTAGTAGGAAGAATTTATGGCCTTGTTGCCGAGGAGACATCATCAACATCTATCAAGTACTGATAACCCACAAGTATAGGGGATCACAACAATTTTTTAGGGTAGTATTCAACCCATATTGATTCGACACAA